ATCTATCTATCTATCTATCTATCTATCTATCTATCTATCTCTATCTCTATCTCTATCTCTCTTCTCTATCTTTCTCTTTCTCTCTGTCTCTCTTTCTCTCTCGTGTATCAACGTGCATGCAAACTGTCTCTCTCTTTCTCTCTCTTGTCTGTCGATGTCGATGTCGTTGGTTGGATCTTCTCTTATCGCGCGTGAGATCTTCGAAGATCACTCGACCATGAAGAAAAGAAGAAGAAGAAGAGGAGGGGAGGAGAAAAAAAAAAGAAAAAAAAAAAGTAACAGAGATCAAAACTAGAACGCCGCTATTTTGCTACTCGAAAGTAACAAAGAAGAAAGTCCAATGAGGATAGAGTGTGATGACATATCGCGATGATTTTCGAAGATCCGCGGAGAGACTCGCATTCTTTCTCTCCATAAACGATCTCTTTAGATTGTAAAACGCTTTAAAATGTACCTAGAACCTACGATTCTATTCTACACTCTTCCTTGTTACCCTTAAAAAAAAATAAGCGCCCTTTTCCTTCCCCGTCCAAGCATATTTTCCCCTTTACCGACCGAATCCTCACACCGCCTCTCCCTACACCCCCCCTCCCCTCCCCTCACCCTTTCCCCTGCCGAGCCCCGAAAAAAAAAAGTAATTGTCTCGCAGATTCAGATTCTTCTGTGCGATTCTAATCTTGATATAACACTTGAAGTCAATTACACGATTAATTAATCCAAAGGTGTATACATTATAACTATATATTTGATTCTAATAGAGAGAGATATACTACGCTCGTATGTTTTTTCTTGCGAATTTTTCGATATAATATAAATATAATATAATAACGAGACACAAATAAGTTGAATTGAATAATATTCTAATAGTTACGATACGGAGTGTGTAAGTATTGTCCGCGTTACGCGGTGGTAAAGAAGTGGCATGAGTTTCGGTGCAACACGAAGCGAAATCATATTCGAACTCGCGAGAAACTCGCGATCGATATCGATAGGGAAAGCGATCAATTGGGCAAAATAGTGAAACCCCGACAATTTCAGAAACTTGACGGATTGAAAGTTGCAACACAGGAACGTGTATAGTTAAAAACAATAGACTGTTTTCCTATTCCTTG